AATAAAAATAAATAAATAAATAAATAAATAAAGTTAATGACATTAGTTATGCATTAACTGTTAAGGATTTAATATGCGTTAGGAAATGAATCTTTCCCATAATACTGTATGAAAGCTACCATTATTAAGCCAATAACTAATAAAATTAAGCCTGGAAAAGGGACATTAAAAATCAAGGGAAGAGGCCATTGAGATAGGTCAGTGGTCTAAAGCACCTCCTTAGGCAAGCTTAGGCAAGTCAGGGACCAAGGTTGGATCCCAGGAACCACAGTGCCAGCCCTGCTCCCAGGGCAGGCTGAGCCAGCCACACACACACACACACACACACACACACACAAAGTATTCATAGGAGGAAGTGCTGAACCCTGACAATCTGTCTCAATATTCACTTTCTTTTGTTTTGTTACTCTGTTTTGAGACTGAGTTTGGCTGTGTGGACCAAACTGGCTTCGAACTCATGCTAATCCTCCTGCCTCAGCCTCCCAAAGGCGGCGATCCTGGGCATGCACCACAGCACCCAGCTAACCCTCAAATGAGAGCCAAGCCAAGGACCAAATTTACCCTCACCTACTTTTACTCAATAAGCCTCAACTCTTTCAAAGCAAGTTCTTAACCATACTTAAATGTTTTAATTGCATTTCTTCACTAAAATAAAGAACATTCATAAAATTTGAGAAAAGAAAAAATTACTCATAAACCTGCTTCTTAACACCATCACTATAAATTCTGGTAAGAGATCCCAACAAGAATTAGTACACTGCACACGCACTCAAAACTTTGGCCTACATTTCCATTTTTGCCGCACACACAGATACAGACAGACAAACAGATGTACAGGTACATGCAGCGGTTAACACTGACTTCAGAAATATTGTAATTTGTGAAAATATTAATATAATAATTTATAATAATAAAGAATTGTATGCTATGTAATTTAGAGACACTAAAATAGCTCAAGCAATTGTTCCCTAAATTTCGGACACTTGCGTTTTCCCCATACGCGTGCAACACTCATTCAAAAGCTATGCCAAGCCGGGCCACATGGCACACACCTGTGACCCCCACAGCTCAGGAAAGTGAAGAAGGGTAGGGAATTCCAGGCCAGGTTGGAAACTCGGCAAGGCTGTGTATCAAACTCAAACTTACAGTGGGGGAGGTATGCATTAAGATTCAATTTTGGGGGGCTGGGGATATGGCTCAGTGGAATAAGCGCTTCCCTGGCAAGCGAAAGGGCTTGAGTTCAATCCCCAGTTCCGCAAAAATTAAAAAAAAATAAGATTCAATTTTGGGGGTGGGAGAGATAGCTCAGTAGAATAAGCACTTGCCTGGCAAGCACAAGGTCCTGAATTCAATCCCTGGTACAGCAAAAA